CGTTGAAGACTTGACGGTATCGTTTTGTTTAGAACAATCAATCACGACTATAGGTCCACGTTTTTTGTAATTTATATAGTCTAATAAAGGATAGGGGTCTTTACGACCGTAATACATTGTCTGGAATTGTGCGTACGAGTTATAAAATGTTGTGTACTTGTTGTTGTCGAAATCGGCGTTTTGGTTTTCGTACGGGTATTCATCAGCGTTGAGATACGCTTTGACGTTTCTCAATGAACAGTGATTGAAATCTCCGAGAACGTGTTCGTCCTCATCACCCATGACAATAAGTAAATATCTAGGTTTTTCCACATTCGAATAGGTGCGCACCGACCACGTGTGATGAGTTGTCTGTGGTACCAACGGGTAAACGGCAACGTCCCAGTGTTGAAATTCTAACGGGAGCCATTTCTTGCTGTCCAGAATACGCATCAGACCCAGTTCAGTTTTCACGCTGGGTTCAAAGTACTTTACTACCCATTTGATTTTCGATATTTTCACGTTGATTTGTTTTATCAATGTTGCAACTTGCGCTTTATCGTCTGTTGTTGTTGTTGTTGTCTGTGGAACCAATGATACGACAGTGCTGTCGGTACTCGATCTATTCAACACGAGAGTCTGAGTACAGTTTATCAGTGTGCGCCGATACCGTTCGAAAAATCCCATGCACATAGATAATGGACATTGCGCTACAAATTCAGTCCCATCGACGAAATCGTTGTTGTTGTGCAAAATTTGCGCGTATTTCCATCCGGCAGGTTGTAATCGTCGAATGTCGTTGGGTGTGAATGAACAATATCCCTTGATGGTTGTAGCCATACCAACGTATTTTATCTTGTCTACTTCTTTACCATTTACCTCAAATCTGATTTCATCGAATAGGTGCATGAGAAAATTTTGCCCCATAACCATTTCACCGGCTGTTCCAGCTGGTGGTTTTTCAAGTTTTCCTTCGATTTGCAAATAACTTTCGCACGGCACGGTGAATTTCTCCTTGTTGCGCACCTCGATACGGATTTCATCGTTGTGTTCGTACGAGTTGTTGTAACTCTGATGTTCCAGATAGTACTCGCGTTTTACACTGTCGTCTTGTTGACATTTTTCCAACACGTGTAAGTACTCGGCCATGATTGACTCGACAACCCAACGATTTTAAAAATTCAATATTTTCTTTTGTGAGTTGTTGCTGCTGCGATAGCGTCGCACGATTATCCGGTTGCTCCGTCGTAGAGTATATGCCATCACTCAAATGATGGTGCACTACACTCCTGTTGAAACTCAGAGGCATTTAAAGAGTGTCAACACGTTTTTCCAGTATAAAGACACGGTCGTCGACTGAATAAAGTTCTCGAGCCAGTGCTTCCAAACGATAAATTGTGGTTGAACTGTTGTTGTTGTTGCTGTTATCACTGTTTATCAGCTGACAGCTGTTGACGGATGTTTGAAGGAGTAGTAATAGTTGCACGACTGTGACTAGTATGCACAAAAATAATCCAATTTGTGAGGAATCAAACTGTTTTATACGGTCCCATAACGTCATCGTACTTTCATCCATCCTGTTTGATGTGTAGACGCACTGTTAATTTTTCACCTCTTAGGTTGACACGTTGACCGTCCTGATCGAGCAATGCGATTCGAATCGTGTTCAATACGTTTGTGTTTAACGGATAGTAAACTACTTGTCTGGGACACTCGATAATCCGGTAGCCCGGTGGTACGTTTGGAAAGAATTCGTGCAATGTATGCGATTGACGTCCTCCGTGGTACGAACCAACAATTATATTGCAGTCGACTCGTATGCATGTAACCTTTGTTATAGAAAACGGGAAATCCGACGTGTGTTCCATTTTCGGTGCCAATACACGAGGTCGGAACCCTAGTATACGACCGATTGATTGCGGGTGTGTAAAATCTATGGGGTGATCGCATTTGATTATGCTTCGCATAGTGTTGCGGTCGGCTGTAAAAGAGATAACGTTTCGATCACCCAACCTTTTGTCACCGATTTCTCTGCTGTTTTCCTTGAGTAAACCAACCGTTGGCAACAATGGATCATCAAAATCTATTTGTTGTTGTTGCACACTGTACTTATACTCTTCTCCGTTGTACTTGTCCGTGATTCGTTTCTGTAAATCTTCAAATTCGTACGATCCCGTCGGTAGTGTTATCACCATAATTGGTTTGTCAACAGTGCCAAAATGAATTTGTTACAATCCTCGTCAATATTAGATATAGTGTTCCACGTATGCAAGCTCAATAGCCCAATTTTACATTTGTCACCGACATCGTTGGGTGGATTGAATGTGCATTGCAATTCAGATCCCACACCGGTTAACGTTAACGTTGTTGTCATGTTGTTGTTGCTGTTGTTCAATTAAAAATTCCAAACACAAGTGACTTTTTCGTACTCGTCCTCAATTTGAAACCAGACCCCGATTTGTATGGTTGCAAGTAAAATCCTATACCCATGCTTACCGCTGTATTGCCTTTACGGCTAAGTTCGGTAGCCATCTTGACCACATTTGCAGCACCGCCGGCTAAAGCTCCCAACGCCGACAGTCCGGCAAATATAGGTATAAGCGGTAGTACACCGCCTTTAGTTTTCGGAACGTTTATGGTACGGGGCAGTGGAATTTTTTTCTTTCTCACCACACGTCGTGCCGCCTTCAACGATTTTTTTGCCACACTCAGTAAATCCATTTGTTGGGCATTTTTATCGAGTTTGGCCGCATGCACAACTCGTTTGAAACCCATACCGAATTTACGTTTCAATTTCATCGCGTTGGTCACACTCCAAGCTACGACTCGTTCAGGCAATTTAGCGTCTTTGACCAACACTCGTTCCCAAGCCTGATATNTTTGGCCAACACTCGTTCCCAAGCCTGATGTTCCAACACCTTGTCCGCTTTATGACGGTCTTCGAGATTCTTGTATTTACTATAAATGATATCGTGATTGCGGCAAGCAGCATCAAGCGGGTTCACTCCAATATCACCTCGTTTTAATCTCTTTTCTAACCGTGTTCCAGGACCCGCAAATTGATAACCTAAATGATAAACATTTAAAATAATGATACAAACTATTTGCCAGGAATTATTTTGAATAATGACACACACCTGGAATGTGGGATTCGAATGGTAATTTGTTGATTACAGTATTCAATATCCCTGCACCTCGTTTTCCACGTTGTCTCTGTTTAACCATTATTTTCATATTGACAGTTATTGTTCGATGACGTGCGATGCGTTTCAAAAAACAGACTCTCACGCTACCTATCGTGAATTTTGAAAAAAGTAGTGAGATTGCACCAAGTAAACACGGTAAACTATTGCCAAATACAATACGTGCATTGATTTGCGGACCGTCAAATTGTGGAAAAACAAACTTGATGTTTACTCTATTGACCGATATCAACGGACTTCGATTTGAAAATGTTTACGTTTACTCGAAATCGTTGCATCAGTGCAAGTATCAACTACTCGTGGATGTTTTACGCGGCGTCCAAAGAGTGCAGTTGTTTACCTATGAAAACGGGGACGATGTACCATCAGGTGGACAACATCCTGGCCAATTCGGTTTTTATATTCGACGATGTTGTCATGGAAATACAAAATGTAATGTGTGATTATTTCACGCGAGGACGACACAGGCAAGTTGATGTTTTTTTTCTCTCCCAAACCCTGTCGCGCATACAAAAACAAATATTACGTGACAACACAAATGTGGTTTCGGATTCGCAGTGATTTGTTTGGACTTTGCGCGAGACGACGGCCGATACAGATACAAGTTTGACACATTTGTTACAATATGAG